TGAATGCCCTGTTTGATAACATAGGGTCATATTTGATTCATCCTATTTGAGCTGAAATTTCAGGAAGATGTATTTTTCCATCAATGGATGTTTTTTTTTATGTATTTAGAAACCCTGCCGTTTTATGAACCAGTAACACTGGAGTTCTGATCTGGCAAAACTCCGACTTTTTCATTCTTCTGTCAATCTATTGGCCTCATTAATTATCATCTTGGTAGAAACATTTCTCTTTGAATTCCTCTAATTTACCACCCACGTTCTTATGTCATCCTCAAGCTTGGAACTGTTATCGTTCCCACATATCCCTGTAAACTGCTTCTTACACAAATCCTCTACCTTTAGTGATTCTTGGGCCTTATACCCTGGTGAACATTTTTTTTTCTTTTTCTTTTTCTTTTTTTTTTTCCATGCTGAAATGCAAAGTTAAAACCTCCCATAGGGAAATTTCTTTCTTCACACCTACCACTGTAGACTATAATTTTACCTTAGATGGTCATAGTTTAAATCTATAATTGTTTCTGATTTTTTATGGTTTGCTTTTTAATATATCTATTTTTATCAACCTGACAATTTGATAAAATTATTTACTCAAACATTATTATTATATTACTATCTCTAGTGTAAAATGAATTGTCATAACAAAGTACCAGTGACATTGATCAGTACCAACTGATCAATCATAGCTAAATATACCTCAGCACATTCCTATCATTAATCAGTTGAAGACAAAGAAAGAAAGATAACTGGAAGGAAATATAATGCTTTCTGGTTTATATTCATTACTGCAATCATATATGACTTTTCACTATTGTGATTTATTGCTTTATGTTCACTTGTGCGGCTAGCTTGCTTTTTATATACAGTACTGTTTTCTGCTATTGCTAAAGTGATTTTTCAATATTTTGTAATTCTAGAATTTTTTTGCAACATGCTGACAAGTGTTGAAATTCACTCATTGTTGAAGTTATTGCTAACATTTTTTGTTGAGACTTTCGTTCAACTTTATAAACCAATCATATTTTTTTAATTTTCATTAACTTTTTCAAAAAGATTTATTGTACTAAATTATGCTAGTAAAACCAACTGTACTTTAACTGTTTGCATTTCTCCCCAAGATTTGGTTTTGATCAGTCAATGTATGGCTATTTTAGAGAGTGTGATGGACGGACAGTTGGACTAACATAAGTCACAGAGTTTTATATATAGACTAGAACACATTTTACTACTGTAAAAAGAATCATCATAAAGTATAGGCAATTCTTATCCATATCAATTGATCCATCATAGCGAAATATCCCTCAACATATTTATTGCTTTATGTTCACTTGTATGGCTAGCTTGCTTTTTATATGCAGTAAGGTTTTCTGTTGCTAAAGTGATTTTTCAATATTTTGTAATAGACTGCTAGCTTGATTTTTATAAAAGGGCTTTAGCATGCTGGCCTTGTTCAAATTGTTGATCATGCTAGATAACATGCTCTTTCCCAGAAACTGTAACTAAGGTCTGCTCAGCATAGTTACAGTATAAACCAGAGGTGGGCTCTGTGGGTGTTGAATAAACACAAATGCACCTGAGCAAGCATCTGCAATAGGGATTGGCTAGCTACCCTAATAGATGGTTATCCTTGAATATGAGTGTCCAGATATACATACTTTTTATATAGAAAGTTTTCTGCTATTGCTAATGTGATTTTTTCAATGTTTTGTTAGATACTGCTAGATTGATTTTTACATACAGTAAGGTATTCTGTTATTGTTAAAGTTCCTGGCTTTATAATATCATTTACTCAAACTATGACTACTATGACATTGTAAAAAAAAAAAAATCATCATAAAGTATAGGCAATGCTTATCCATACCAATTGATCCATCATAGCTAAATATCCCTGAACCCACTCCTATCAAAACCCAACTGGAGACTAAGAAAGATACCTGTAAGGAAATTTGGGTAATGGTGTCTTCTGGTTTATAATGAACTTTTCTGGAATTTTGGTTTGAATAAAATCTTATCTGATTTGGTTTCTCTTGCAATTACCTACTGATATACATCTCTTTCAATGATGGACAGGAAAGTTTCCTTAAAGGATGGGAAACATTCAATTAATTTGTTGTCTTTGAAAGTGAAACAGTCAGCTCTTTCAAAGGTCAAGTAGCATTATCTTGTATGTATATACATTTCACTTTTGTGACCTGTATTATTCAAAAACGTTTTCTCTAAGATCTTCTTCGAAGTCTCTGCATTTATCTTTGCATCGTCATTTAACTTTGAAGATATCTATAATTTTACTGCCTACAAAATGAACACAAATGAGTACACCTTTTGTTCTGCTTAATTACAACCGTGAGTCAAAATGCAATTTGTTTTATTAAACCAGGAACAATTAAACATATTGTACATCAAGATATAGCTATACATCACAGGTTCACATCCCTACTTTAACAGTTACCACCTCTTTCAATGATAGTGTTCCATCTATCAATGAGGGCATATATCCCAGCTTTGTAAAACTAAGCTGGCTGCTAAAGTAACCAATTCCTTACAACAGTTTTCACTTCTTCATCACTACCTGACTTAGCACCCTCAGATATCCATCTCTTTTATCCAATAAAAGAGATACTGAGGGTCAAGCATTATGGTGATGATGAACTGTTGAAAGGAATTGGCCTCATCTGTAGCCAGCTAAGTTTTATGAAGCCGAGATACAGGTCCTCATTCGTAGGTGGAAAACTGTCACTGAAAGAGGGGGATAAATATGTTGAGAAGTAGGGATGTGAACCTGTGATGTATAGCTATATCTTGATGTACAACTTTTCATAGTGTTGCTTATTTCTTTTATGATAAAAGAAATTGCATTACCTCATGTTTGCATATTCAAAATAAACTATTTGGGGGCTATTTTACAGAAGTTTTCATTTCATCGTCACCATAATGCTTGACCCTCAATGCCTCTTTTATTGGACTGAAGAGATGGAGGTCTGAGAGTGCTAAGTCAGGTGGTGATGAAGAAGTGAAAACTGCTGTAAGGAATTGGTTACATTAGCAGCCAGCTTAGTTTTACGAAGCTGGGATATAGGCCCTCATTCGTAGTGATGTATTGCTATATCTTGATATATATGTATAAGCATTCCTTATTTCTTACATAATAAAATAAATTGTATTACTACTTGACCCCCTGATATTTGCATATTCAAAATAAACTATTTGGGGGATATTTTAGTGAAGCATTGTCTGGTTGTATTCCCATGTCTTTATAAGCTTTTGTATTTTTTTGACCATAGAAGTTGCAGAAGTCAGTATGATAAACCAGTTTAGTTCTTGCCTATTTCTGGAAGATCAACAACAAATCCTTATTTCTTTCAGGGCAATGAGAATATCTGACCAGAATATTGACCATTGTCTGTAAATGCTTTGAAGAAGATATATTTTTCCCTGTCCTACTTAGTATCTTGTAAAAATGCATTGTGGTGAGCAAAAGAAACAGCCCAACATGCAAATTTAACAGCAGACAGAAAGTGTGAAACTGAAATCCAAAGGTGCATTGGGATAGAAAAAGATGCTTTCCAAAAGCTAAGCAAAGTATTAAGAGAAAAATTTTGTTAGAAACAAAAAAAAAAAAAAAGTACTGAACTATTATTTAATATCAGTCCTCCTATATGACAGTGAATATCCTCACAGATTAAGAAAAGACTTGCAACCACAAAGTTTTAGAGAAAATGGAAACACAAAGGAAACTTATGCTTAACATCAGGAAGAGAAAGTTGAGGAAAAATGGATTGGAAAATTTGATACTCATAGGACATATTTAAAAGCAAGAGGTTCAGGAAAACAACACATAACCTAAATATAAATGGATGGTGGAACAAGGTTTAGAAGAGAGAAAAAAATAGAATTTAAGTACTACAAAGAACAGGAAATTGTGAAGAGCCATGATCGCCAACATCCCAATTGGATACAGCACATAGAGGTTGTTAAATGTGATTCTTAAATCATAATCTTTCTCTGAGAAGCAATCAATAATCATTTCTTTATTAAGTATTTTTAGGGACAAGTAGGTCTCTGCAACAAGTTTTTCGATCTTCACAGAAATTAAAAAATAACAACTGAGGCAGTGTTTCAATTCTTTTCACTAGAACAAGAGTCAAATGTCACTATTTTCTGGCTGTTTTTAGGTTGTGTGTTTTTGGGTTTTTTTTTTTTTTTTTTTTTTTTTTTTAAGTACAGGTTTGCATATGGTTTATGATTAGCAAAATTCTTGAAACTGCTTAAAATATGATTTTGTCTCCCACCAAAGGAATTCTATTTACTAAATTATTTCTAAAAATGCCATGTCCGATTTCACCCAGTTTCGTCTCCACCCTTTCGCAAGGAAAACATTAACTTTTTTATTTAATTGTTTACATAGAACTTATTTCTTTTAATTTGATTGACAAATAACAAAAACTAAAAACATGGAAAATTTTGATATATTAGTACATATGTACTAAAGACACTTTCCTGAATGAAAACTCCTTTTAAGAGACCAACCTGTAAAAGATGCCACACTGTACTAAACCTTATAATTTCTTGTATTTTGGTTCTGCTACCACCACTGGTCTGTTATCTATTTTTTTGTGTTGTCTGGCATTCGAGTATAACCTATAAGTATTGCCTTGCCATATGAAGTCCTGAGCCATTTCCAGTTTTGTCAGACCAGAAGATGTAAAGATGGATGTCAATAAATTGTGATTGTGCATTATTTAAATCCTCTGACCTCTAATTGACTTTCATTTATTCCATATCATTTAATTTCATTTGGCTCAAACTGCCAAGTCATGTCTGAATCTGCTTCTATGATGTTTCTCATCATTCTTTCCTCTTTATTTTTTTTCCTCATCTTTATTGGCAAATGACTGCAGCTGACTACCATCTTTTGGTAAACTTCGGTTCAACTTGAAAGCAAAAATCAATCTTTTGGTTCCGTTTTACCCAAAATCTAGTTTTTGATTGGCTTATGGCCGCATCATGTTAAAACACCAGTTCCTGTATAATCACTGAAGTTAAGCAATGTCAAGCCTGGTAAGTACTTGGATGGGTGGCCACTTGGGTTGGTTGACTTGTTAATTTTGTTTAGCAGCATGTCAACCTCAAAGTGTTATTTAATTCTGAAATCTAAAAGATAGGGTTTTGTGGGGATTGAAGAAAGGATAGAAGATAGCAATTGACATTGCATTTAAATTTTTGAAGATTCTAGTTATCCGGGAAGCAAGTAAAAGGAAGGGAGTTCTACAGGCAGAAAGTGCGAGAAAAGAAACTATGGGTAGAAGTGGCATTTACATTTAATCATTTATTTTGAACGCAATTGTACATCTTCAACAGCAGATAACATGTATTATAGGTCATTTTGCTATAAAATGTATTGTTGGTAATTTTATTATATAAAAATGTATTGCTGGTATTTTTACTATAAAGATCTATTTTTCTACTTTCATAGTGTTTTGTTCGGGGTTTACTATTTGCCCATAGCTGGGACCCTAACGGGTGCTACCACTCTAAGTCAGAGATGATCTAGAAACAATAGCAATTAAGAGGTGGTTCCACACTTCTTGAAACCTGCCATCTTCCAATCAGCTTCTTTGTTGTCAGATGTAGTTTATCATCATACCAAGGACTGACCACTTGGGAATATCAGGTGCTGTAAGCTTAGATGTGCTGGTAATGTAATGACTAATGGCTCAGAATTGTAAAACGGAGAGCTGAGATTTAATTTCAGTTAGGTTAGTTATATTCACATATATGCAAATAGTCATTGGAGAGATTTGAATTCACCTCTTCTCCTCCCAACTATGGGTTAATTAGTAAGACTTGTATCACTAAAATTATTATTATCTCTAAAAAGAAAATTGCATGCAAAATATTTAGATTATGTCATGAGATAACACATAGTTTGGTAAACCACTAAACAAAATCAACCTACTAAAATTCTCTTTCTTTCAGGCTCATTTCTATATCGTATTCTTATTCTAAAATAATTTCTACAAATATTTTCATGTTCTGATGAGCTTTCCTCTTTGGCTTCAGAAATTTAAGCATAGTACTTGAAGAGTTTCTGCTCTTGCACTTCTCACATATGAAACTCTTTTTCCAGTTTATTCTTTTCCTTCCATCTACAGTTGTAAAAAATATTAATGCAACATCAATTGTCATTTTTTTGTTTCCTTGAATCTTTTTCTTTTTTCTTTTAAGTGTTATTTCTCCTCAATAACATTTTTCTTTGCGTCTTTCATTCTATTGTCTTTCTTCCTCAGTAAACCCCTTTCATCTTAGTGGCTATATCACCTAAATTTTTAATCTTTTAATTAGTATCTGTCTATATCTTTGAGATGAGGTATTATGATTACTTGCATTATTTACATTATTCAGACTGTTATCCTCATCTTCCTTACCATATTCACAACGTTTCGGCCTCTATATCTCTGAGATGAGGTATTATGATTACTTGCATTATTTACATTATTTGGACTGTTATTCTCATCTTCATTACCATATTCACAAGGACACATGACCCAGTGGATAAAGATGTTGGTTAGATCCAGTGACTAAACCCAAAGAGTTGTGGGTTCAATACCAGGTTACAGCAGTGGTACAGCAAAACTTGAAGAGTTGAGTTAAAGGGAGATTATCTTACATTATTTGGACTGTTATCCTCATCTTCATTGCCATATTCATGTTTTGGCCATTATACGCTCCAGCCTTCATAAGGTGATTGGCTCTCTGAGATGAGGTATTATGAAAACTTATATTATTTACATTATTAGGACTGTTATCCTCATCTTCAGTGCCATATTCACAATGTTTCGGCTGTTGTACACTCTGGTCTTCTTCAGGTGATTGGAATTTCAATTATTTCATCAATTAGTATTTACTATTTTTATTTTCATTTTATTTAATTCACTTGTGAATGAAATAAATTGTAGCATTTTTGGGACAATGAACATTATTATCTGTCATATCACAATATTTAGGGTCATAGAGACACCATGTACTGCAGCCATGGCAGCTGTAGGTGTGTCTATGGCAACTTAACATGAAAGAGCTCATCACTCTTCAGGTTGGTTTTGAATTCAGATTTTCCTTCTACTAGCTTGGTTGTCAAGACAAGAGAGCACAGTCTGCTCTACTATTTAACTTATAACTGTGGTGGGTTGATGCTTTTCAAAGAACATTAGCTCAAAATGATCAACTGGGATTTGAACTTGGCTCACTGGTTTTACATTACTTAACTGTTACACTATCCGTGCACCCTGATTATAGGTAAAAACCTATAATCAATACCAGAGCAGCCTATAATTAATACTGCATATAAACCTAAAATTAAAGTCCGATTTTATAGAAACCGGTAATTAATAATCTATATTTTATAAACCTACAATTAATGTTGGATTTTTAGTTGGTTGGCTGTTGGTTGATTTTGTTTAGCGGCATATCAACACCTCTATGGGTTATTTAATGCCAAAATTTAAATATTTGAGCATAATTTTATGGCTTTAAACACATATAAAAAAAAATATACTTGTTTATTTTGCTAGATGTATTGTTGGTCATTCTACTATATAGATAGATATTGTTGGCAACATTTTCATATAAAAATGATATTTTTACTATAAAATTGTATTTTTATACTATTTTTTTTTTTTTGGTAGTTCACTATTTGCCCATGGCTGGGACCCTGCTATGGGTCAGGGTGGACCTGGGAACAACAGCAATTAGGAAGTGGTTCCATATCCTTCAAGACCTCTGATCGATCAAAAGCCTTGCTGCCATATGTAGTTTATCATCATGCCTAGAACTATTGGATTTTTATAAACCTCTTATTAATGATGATTTTTTTTTTTTTTTAATTTTATAAATTAGGAAATCCTTTAAATTATAATTCATGCAAGATTTTATATGGATTAAATAATTTTGATATTTCATTTTTCTTTTAATTTATTAATAAAAATGTAAAATTGAAGCTCTTCCTCACTTTCTTGTTTATTCTCAATACTTTGAGTATTTTACAAAACCTTCTCTTCAATGAGTTGTCTGCTGCATAGATGTGAAATTTGCACATGTCTGTGTAGTGGACTCTTCTGGTGATACAACAAATATATACAACCTCTGACAAAAATTATGCAATGTACACACTTAGTGGATGTTTACCCATACTCAGTTAGTTGTACAACAGGGAGATGCTGTTCTGAGGACAGAACCACCACTACCAACTTTTTTATATATATAAAATCATTTTCTTTTCTTATTTGTTCTTTCATTCCCTGTTTTTTACTTGTGATGGGACTACCAGTATTTTTACCAATTCCGATACTGTTCTAAATTTCTGATTCCAATACCTACAATGATTAAATTTCATTATTTTCAGGCCCTTCAGTTGGTTTGGGAAACTTAATGAATAAAGTACATTTATTAATAAAACATTTAGTAGAAAATGAATACAAAAGCTTATGAAATAAAGTTAGATATCCTTTTTATTTAAAAAAAATGGGTAAAAGTTTAAATAATAAAGAGACTAATTTCTTTATGTAAATTAGTACCTCACTACAGTTGACATATTGATTTTTAGGTTATCATCAGAAATTTTAAACTTCCAAACTATACTTTTCTGCTTGGAATTGGATGCACTTGCTATAATTGGGGGTCTGAAAATAATAAACATCGGTTAAATTTAAGTTTTTCACCATTAGATAAAAAATGTTCCTAGTTTTCTAATGTGTATAATTTGTAAAGATTCAACTATTATGGTTTGCTATTGTAAAATAAAAAGTGTCTATTTTTTTGTCCACCTTATATATTTTAAGTTTTAACAAGCAAAGGCACCCTCTAAATATTATACAATTTCCTTAAAATCTTATATGTGGCATTTTTCAATGAATGGAACAAATTTAGGGGGTGACAATTCAATTTCACTTGTACTTCAAAAATAAATTCTGATACAATTTGCAATACAGTATTTACTGTTCTCCCACTAGGACGAGATGTGACAGAAGTTCTATTTTTAGGTGGGGACCCAAGCACGTACGCCTGGGACGAACAAAAATTCCCTTCAGCCCCTGCAACCGTCGGTTCGCTAGCCTCGGTGTGAGCACCGATCCCTCTCTCTAGTGCAATGGGAGGGTGCTGTCTTGGGCAGCTATTCCCCAGGGCTGGGCACCTCTTCAGTATAATTTTCTGAGTTGCCCCTCTGTCCTTTGACAGAGAAACCCCTGAGCGAACAAGGACAGACATGCAACTAAGATGATAAGTAGATGTGTACCTACTCAATTTGCAATACTGTCCCAAATTTCCGATTGCAGTAAAATTCATTATTTTCAGGCCCTGCAGTTCATTTGGGAAAATTAATGAACAAAGTACATTTATTAATAAAACATTTAGTAGAAAAATGAATACAAAAGCTTATGAAATAAAGTTCGGTATCCTTTTTATTTAAGAAATTGGGTAAGAGTTTAAACAACAAAAAGAATTTACTTACGTAAATCACTTAAGTACTTAGCCACAGGCGACACTTCACTATGGTTATCATCAGAAATCTTAAAAACAAACTTTCAAACTATACTTTTCTGCTTGGAATTGGATACACTTGTCATAATTGGTCTGAAAACAACAGTTCATTTTATTTCTATATTACATAATTTTGATTATAATTATTAAATTAATAATTCATAATATTAAATGGATGAATTAACAATGCTTAAAAGGAAATTGAAAATAAAGATTTTATTTTGAACTGAAACAGACTTTAAACTAGTGAACTTTATGGAAAGTTTGAGAACTGAGTAGAAACTTGCACTTTTTTTTTTTTTTTTTTTTTTTTTTACACAGGTAAAATAAATTTACATCTCAGGTGTTATGATTTATAGATTTTAGATTTAGATAGTTTTAAATCAATAAATATTCATATTTTTTTTTTTTTTTTTTTTTTCATTTAGTACTAGGAATGGAAAATTAAGTTTTAAAAAAAAAAAAGTCCAAAGAATCATTTTTGGAATCAGAAATTAGGTTAAAAATCTGCCGATACCAATACACCCAAAAGTTCCAATATTTCCGATTCTTGATTCTGATTCCGAATAATCATTCCATCACTAGTTTTTTTTTTTTTTTTTTCCTTTTTCTTTCTCTCAGAATTCATTCTTTTTTTTCTTTTTTTTTTTTTTAATTTTAGTCTTTTTTCATTCAAACACACACACACACATATATATTTTTCCTTAAAAACAGAATTTCAAAAAATGTTTGAAATTTTGTGAAATCTTTTTTATGTGCCATGATATAAAATATATCGGGATATGGGTGATCATGGCTGTCCACAACTTTCTGTCATTTGTTACTCTATTTGTGAGAAATAAGTTTCATTTAAGCCACTTCTTCCCACGAACCACTGCTCTGTGGAACCAACTCCCAAGAGGATATTTTCTTGATCACTACAATCTTGTTAAAATCTAGGGTTAACCATTATCATCCCCACATATCTGCATAAACTGTAACCCTTACTCTATAACCCTTATACCTTGAGTGGCTCCAGGGTCTTGTACAGGATGAACCTTGCTGTAAAAGAAAAAAAAAAAAAAAAGATTTATTCACTCAAACTTGCCAAGCAATTTAGTTGCCATTTTCCCTGTTTCTCTTGCCTTCAGTATGTCTTGTGAGTGTTAAATTCTCCAGGTCTTCTTTCCTTGTGTATCTCAGAAATTTCAAATGTTTCTCAATAAGTATGTTTCCATGTAGTTCTTATTCTCCTTAAGACTTCGTCATTACTCGCATGTTCTCTCCACGGTATTCATCAGTAGAACCACATCTTTGTCACTTTGTTTCTTCATCTTTCAGAAGATAGTCCAGCATTCAATACCATACAGGAAATTAGATACTAAATATTATCATCCCACCCATAATTGGGTGTGGTCATAGGGTCACTGCACAGCTGAGCCCCTGACCAGTTCCTTCCACATATCTGGATTGAAAGCATGTCTTAGGAAAGTAGGCCTGGTGGAGCTATAGTGGCATGTGGCTTAGGGGTTAAAATTAACAGTTGATCTAGATTGTTGAGAGAAAATTCCTTGAAGTGACACATATTGGTTAGTAGTTGATAATATAATTGGCAAGTAATTTTACACTGGTGAGTACTTCAATACTGGTTGCTAGGAACTGAAATGAAACCATTCACATGACTTCAGACACTCTTTGACTAATTAAATTTTTCTCCTTATTTTATATAAGAAGAATTTTTTGTGTATGTTCGCAACTTTCTTTTCTTTTTGGCTGACTGGTTAATTTCTGTGAAGGCAAGCATTTCATTGGTCCAAAACATGTGCTCGCAAATTCTGTTTCTTCTCAGCTCACTGCTCGATTTCTGTGAAGGCAAAATTTTCATTGGGCCAAGGAATATTTCACATAGGCTCCTGAATTCCTTCCCTCTTTCTTCCTCAGTCCTCCAAATTTGAAGTAAGTGGGTGAAGGGAATTATTATTGTGCACTCACTACAGAGCCCATTTCTTGCCAGGTCAAATTGCAGACAATGCCCTCCAATTTGAAGGTTCACCATGATCATGAAAACATGGTTGTCGATTCCATCAGATGAACATTCTGACCTAGCCAATGATTTCTGTTAAGGAAGCCCTCTACCCAGTGATGCCATGCCATCAATGTGTTGGTTGTCTCCATAGCTATGGAGCTCAGTTTCCTCCCACCACCACCACCATTGTGTTAGATTGCTGTTGACCAGAGAGAATATTCTGCTGCCCTTTGGCAGGTTTTGATTTTAATCTTGTGTGTTGAGCCACCCTCCTCACCAGAAAAAAACCTAGTAGGGGAACAGTTTAGTCACTAATGTCCCAACTGTGTGGCAAGTAGTACTGTTTTACATGGTACCAGTAGCACTTGTAGTGAGTGACATATTACATTACAGTTCAGCAATCTTTGTTCCTAGCAATACTTTAACTTTCCCATCTCTTAAAATACTTTGTTTCGTTTTTAAAAGACATATTTTGCTTTTCCTAAACACTCTCAGATTTTGGGGTCACACTTTTCATCCTCTGTTAATACCCAAACCAGAGTTAAAATTTTTTAACTAATGAATAATAAAAATCCCACTTTCTTACCCACCTTGTTTCTCCAACCAATCATCCTCCCATTACTAACAGTACCAGTTTAACCAAAAGGTACTTTCTAAACCCCCTCACTTCTGAAAGAGTTAGGTCCCTTCGACCTTATCTGATATTTTTAGTAATTAAGTTAGAATATCCCAGGGGAAATGAATAGCTTGTTCGGATTTCATTATTTTCAATCCCTTATGCACACAAAAACAGTGTAAGGAATTATTTTCCACTACCCCAGCGTCTCTCAATCTCCCACCCACTGCCGCTACGCGATCCTTCCCGCGTGTTTATTATTTTGGGAACGAGGTCAACCTGCCATAAAGCTTGAAGTAGTCTGTTCTTGCTTTTTCGTGTTTTTTTTTCTCGTGACACTCCACTTACTACATTTTTTTTATTCAGTTATCTTTATTCTTTCTTTACTTATATATTCGCTCACTAATCCACCCCGACCTGCTTATGCACCCCCGTAATTTTATATACCCCACACCTTGCTATTTTAAAGAAAGAAAAAAAAACGAAAAAGAAAACAAGTATTTAGTTTGTCTTTTTCTTATTTGTCCCAATTTGGAAAAAAATTACGACACCATATATAGTT